CCTTGCTGGATAGAGTTGTCTTGGATTCAGACTCTTGTTATTCATGACCTTGATTACTTCATGCCATTCCCTTCTGGCCTGTAGTGTTTCTGTTGATAAGTCAGCTGAGAGCCTTATGGGAGTTCCTTTGTACATAACCTGTTGCTTATCTCTTGCTGCTTTTAGGATTCTCTCTTTGTCTTTAATTTTTGGCATTTTAATTACTATGTGTCTTGTTGTGGGTCTGTTTGGGTTCTTCTTACTTGGGCTCTCTGTGCTTCTTGAACTTGAACGCCTTCTTTCTTCACCAAATTAGGCAAGTTTTCTGTCACTATTTCTTTGAATATATTCTCTAACCCTTGCTCATTTTCTTCTTCTTCAGGGATTCCGATGATGTGAATATTATTCCATTTACAGTTGTCCCACAGTTCTCTTAAGCTGTCTTTCTGTTTTTTAATTGTTTTTACCTTTTGTTTTTATGATTGGTTGATTTTCTCTACCCTGTCCTCTAATTCACTGATCCGGTCCTCAGTTTCCTCTACTCTGCTGTTTAGACCTTCCAATGTGTCCTTTATTTCTGATATATCATTCTTCATTTCTTCTAGGTGGTTTTTAATTTCCAATTGGTTGATTTTCAACATTTCTATGTCTTTACTCATGGTGTTGATGTCCTTACTCATGCTGTTGAGCTTCCTCAAGATCATGGCTCTGAATTCTAGCTCTGTTAACTTGCTTAACTGCTCCTCATTTATCGCATCTTCAGTAGAGATCTCTTGTTCTTTGATTTGGCATTTGTTTCTTTGTTTCACCATTTTGGCTATCACAGTGGGCTTTGGAGCCTGCCAAATTTTCCTTGTGGGTATTGGTGTTCTGCTGTTTGTGGTTCCCTCTCCTGGGTTTGGATGAGCGAGGGAGGACCCACGTTAAATACCACTGTCAAGTCTTACTTTCCTGGTTAGAGTTGCTAGCCCAGGAATGGTTCAGTTATCCTCCATCTTTTTGCCTGGAGGCTATCAGCAGTGGTTACTTGAAGAGCCTTGGGTTCTCAGTTGAATGAGAAACTCCCTCAGGTGCTCAGTGTAAGGGGATTTCCCGAGGGTGGGGCAGATGCTGGTTGTTAATGAGCCTCAATTTGCATTTCAGTGACCAACGGGGTGGGGTTGAATCTCTCAGGGAGGGGCTGCTGCCTCTCCCCAGAGCCCTGGGAAGGAATAAATAAGATGGCCACCATCCTGCGTGGCTGCAACTCAGCAAAAGCTCTTAGCGCCCTCCAAATCCCGAGTGTCCTCACACAGTTCCTGTCCAGTCTGCCCTCCCTCTGCCGGATCCCAAAGTGAGTGGCTGTGGCTATTTTAGCATCTGTCCCAGCTCTGTACTGTGGAGATGCTTGGGAGTGTAACCCTGACGGCGCTGCTCACAGCTAAGGCCACTGCTGTCTGTGGGCTCCCAGCCCCCTTCTTGTGCCTCCGCAATCCTACCAGGATCGAGTCAGTGTCGCTGGTTATACGGTCCTCTCAAGCTGCTTTTCAGTTGCTTTTTCCTGGCGATTTGTCTGTGTTTTAGTTGTAATTCCAGTTTGGTCCTGGGAGATGGTCTGTGTAGCTTTCATTCACTCTGCCACCATTTTGGAATCTGAATTATCTTTTTAAAGACCCTACCTCCATATACAGTCACACTTTGAGTGCTGGGGTTTAAGACTTCAACACATGAATGGAGGGGCACAATTCAGGTCATAACAGACTCCATTCCAACTCCAAGGTGCCAGGGGTCCTAGAATGAGAGAAGGTAGGGAAAGTTGATGCCAGTCTACATTGGTGAGACTTGGGCACCTTAGCAGTAGGTTCTAGGGGGCTCTTCCAGGTCTATGGAGGACTTCTGTCCTGAGGACCAAGTGCTGTTCCCAGGATTGCAGCCTACAGTGAAAATTTCAACAAACCCATTTCCTGAGGAAATAGCATAGGATGGTGAGTAGACTTATGAAGATAAATCCTGACCCCATATCTTAACACTGTGCAAGTTAGACACCTCTCTGAGCATGTTTTCTCCTCTGTAGGATCATAATGTGTTCTCCATAGAGCTACTATGAAAAGCAAAGAGAGAATATGCCAAATATATGACAATCTTGTTATAAATTACTATTGCCATTGCTGTTGGTGGTGTTCATATGTACTTGAAAGAAAGGAAAAAATTATGTGGTTTCAGTGTGAGACTTCAAGGTTCCTAGAGAGTGGGAGATATCTCAGGCTTCTATTGTTCAGAGCTTGATCTCATGCACAAACATCGACTGAGCACCTAAGAGCCAGGAGTGCTTCTGTGAAGATTTCTCTAATGTAAGAGCATGTCTGGTAGAGAGATGATAAGTAGAATGATTGATTTAGAGGCAAGGAAAGAAAGGGCAGGTAGAGATGTAGACAGCAGCTTCACATAGTCTGAAGAGGTGATATTTGAGAACAGACTCATTTAGCTATTCAGAGCAAAGAACAAAGAACTTCAGGACACAAATTAATAAAGTCTGGGGAACAGAAAGGATATTGGTGTGCTCTGGCCAGTGTGGCTCAGTTGGCTGGAGAATTGTCCTGTGCACAAAAGGGTCATGGGTTTGATTCCCAGTCAGGGCACATAGTCGGGGTGTGTATGGGAGGCAACCGATCAATGTTTCTTTGTCACATCAATGTTTCTCTCTCTCTCTCTCTCCCCCTCTCCCTTCCTTTTTCTAGAATCAATGAAAACATGTTCTTGGGTGAAAGGATATCGGTGCAATTGGAGCAGCAAGAGTAAGGGTTGGGTGGAGGGCAATTAGGGTGAAGACATTGACAAGGGCCAACTTGATCTGAATTTTCAGCTTAATGTGCCCTTCGAAACATGGAAGATCAGGGATGCTGGGAGCTTAGAGAGGAAAGCAGAACGGGGGGGGGGGGGGGCGGGCGGGTTGGTGGCTCTGTAGCACCTGGCACAGTGTCCTTGCTGTCCGTGGTGCTGACACCCTGAAAACAGGTTCCCCAGAAGGGAGAAGTCACTAATTCAACATTCTGCCTTCCAGAACTGTAAGAGAATATGTGTTGTTATTTAAGTCACCAAGTTTGTGGTTGTTAGTTACAAAAGTGTATGAAACTCATACAAGAGCCAAAACTCAGAAAAACCAGGTATTTTCTCGCAAAATCTAAGAATTGGTAGAAATAAGAATTCAAATCAGGTGGTTTGACTCCAGGCCAGTGCCCTGTGCTACCTCACCATGCTAGAAATACTCCCTGGTTTATGGGCTGAATTATGCAACCCCCTCCTCCAGTTCATATGTTGAAATCCTAATCCTCAGGACCTCAGAATGTGAGTGTATTTGGAAATAGAGTGTTTAATAATGTAATTAAGTTTAAAAAAAAAAAAAAAAGGAGCTTGTTATGGTGGGCCCTGATCCAATATAACTGATGTCCTTATAAGAAGAGGTTAAGACACAGACATACACAGAGGGAAGACCATGTGAGGACACAGAGAAAATGGCTGTCTGTGAGCCAAAAAGGAACCAATCCTGCAGACACCTTGATCTCAGACTCCCAGCCTACAGAACTGTGAAAAATTTCTGTTAAGTCCCCAGCCTTGGTACTTTGTTACAGCAGCCCCAGAAAGCTAATATACCTGGGGATTCTGGGAATGCCCAGTCCCTCTCCAGCTCAACCCAAGCCTCCCTTAAAGAGTAGCACCCCCAAACCCAGAGTCACCCACCCCAGCAGGTTTAAATCACCAGGCTATTTCAAGGCCAGTAGGGAAGCTTAGAGGAACATGTAGAGACAGCACCTGCACACAGTACGACCAGGACACACACAACCCTCAGGGCCGTTCTTACTTGCCACATTCTCCCTGGAAGTCATCTATCTCCACAGTATCCGTCTCCACCATTGTCCTGAAACCTCCAGACTTGTTCCCAGCACAACTCTCTTCTAAGTTCCTATCCTCTAATGTCCAGAGCCCCTGCAATCTTCCACAATGGTCCCTTCAGCTCCTCAAACTCAGAGCTCTAAATGGAGCCCTACTGCTGCTCCCTTTCCCTTGTTCTGTCTCCGTAAAGATGTCCCCCCATCACCTATGCTGAGCTCCCCTTATCCTCTTCAGCGTCTCCAGCCCTGCCTTTCTCACTGCCCACCAATCTCTATGTTCTGCCAAATTTAATTGTAAATGTTTCTTGGCAACTGTCCCTCCTCACTGTCTCAACATCCATTGCCCTAACTTAGGCCTTGTTATCTCTCCCTGGTCTATGGCCTCCAGCCTTGGCTCCCCCCTCCCCCCCTCCTCGGACCGCAATCCATCCCCTCCTGGCAATAGTGTTTAGTAATAGAAACACCTGATGAGGCAGATACTTGCTCCACTTCACAGGTGAAGCAACTGAGGTCCAAAGTTTTGGTAAGGAGCCCAGTGCCACTGGTAAGAGGCCAGACTAGGGTTTCACACAAGGAATTTTGGCTTCATAGTCTTAAGCTCTTAACCAACATGCCAGGACAGTGAGTGAGAGCACACAGCAGGGACTGGCTCATTTTGTGTGACCTCAGCTGAGCACACAGTAAGAACTATGCCTGGGAAGCTCTGAGAATAAAGATATTGAGCCCTATGCCTGAGTGTACGTGTGTGTGTACATGTGCATGCACATGCAGTAGATATGTTTCAGGAACCAGGCTCAGCAGTGCACACGGTAGGAACATACAGAAAACTTCGAGTACCTGCACATAGTAAGACCAGCCCAGGGGCAGAGGCTGTGGAACCTAGTAGGGAAAATGAGTGGTATCAGGACAGGTACCCAGGGGCATCTGGGATTCCCAGGGGGTGCATGTAGCATTTGGAGGCCCTGTGGTCTGGAGCCAGCACTGAGTGGGACTACAAGTGAATTCTGGGAAGGTACTCATAGTTCATGGAGTTCAGCCTGAGGTTAGGTGCATGGATCATTGTGACAAGCTCCCGCCCCAGCCATCCTGAGTATGGAAGGTGGGGCGAGATAATCCCTGAACCCAAAGATGACATGATGCCACTTCCAAGAGTAGAAGGTTTATTGGGAATGACTGTTCAAGGGTCGTTAGTGTAGCGCTGCCCCTCCTCTTGGAGGTGCAACAATCCAGTGTGTGGGCCCTGGAGGTCCAGGGGAATCCAGGAAGGTCACAGACATAGCAGCAGGCAAAGGGGGAGCAGCCCCCACAGGGCCCACCCCCAGCCAAGCTCAGGGGGGACCCCTCTGCAGGTCCTCAGGTGTCTGCAGTTGAACTGGAAGGGTGCTGTGGCAGACAGTGCCGGTGCCTGAGAATCGACTTCTCTTCCTCCTGAAGGAACAGGAGTGATGCACACCCACATGTGTCACACAGAGCAGGTCCCAGGTACACGTCACTCAGCACACAACCGCTGTGTCATCCCACCTTGTGGGGGCCTTGGGCAGCCCACTCTCACCATCTCAGAGGCAGTGCTGGGGCTGGCACCCTCAGGAGAGCCACCTTCATCCCGTGAGCAGTCAGGGCCTGCATCCTCTTCATACTCTGTCAGGCAATCTGACTCCTCCCCTAGAATTCGGGAAGCAGCGTGAAAGGGGACAAGGACTAGTCTGGTATTTCCAACCATATCCCATCAACCCCAGGCCTGGCCCCACCCCTGGAGGTGCCCTCACCATCAGCACAGCCATCGGAAACATAGCTAGAGGGGGGCTCGATCCGGGACACAATCTCCGCCAAGTCAGTGAAGCCAGAACTGGGGAAGGCCAGCACCTGTGAGGTGGCACGAGTGAGGGTCTAAGAGGCTCCATGGTATTCTGGGGTGTTGAGGGACTGAGTACCTCGGGGGCTCAGAGATCCTGGGGTAGAGCTCTCTGGTCAGAGGAGCTCAGCAAAACCCAGGGAGATCTGGGGTCATCTGAGGTTTGGGAAAAGCCCAGAAGGGCTGGGGGAGACCCAGGCTTACATCTGCACGGCGGCTCTCAATAAGGTCAGCAGACCTCCGGTCTGTGAGCATCTTTTCAATGATGTCGCCCCGGCTCCAGCCCCCAAACACAGCCTTTCCGTACTGGTAGCCCACATCCTGCAGGAAACAAGGGCACTAGGGCCATCCATGTTGCAACTCCCCCAAATGTTCTCTGCCTCATCCTCTATGCTTATTCCCACTTTCTGTCCCTTCCCTGGCCCCTCAAAAGCCTGATACTCTGAAGAGTTGGCATTTGAGACTAACCCTATTTCAGATTCAGCCATATGTAGCACACTTGCCCCCATGTCCCCTATCCTGTGCCCTGCCAGACATTACTCATCAATCACTCCATGTTCTTTCCCACTCATCCCCATGCAGTGTGCCAAGTACCAAATCATACAAAATGGTGGTGGGCAACCTTATTTTAAGTTCTCCAAATAAGCAGTATATTTGTGGATATCGCCACCTCCCATATGCATAACAGATATCACTAATTCATCAGGGCACACTTCCCCAGTTAGCCCTGGGAGAGAGCATCAGACTTTTTTTCACTCAGGTCTCTGGGCAGCAGCTAGCAATCAATTTTAGGTGGCATTGGCTATGGCACATTTTTCAGGACCAGTGGCACATGACATACACACCACTCCAACCCTCGCTGACTTGTGGAAGACATTACTAGTTGATCACTGTTTTCACTCCCACCAATGCAGAAATCTCTACATAGTGCTTCAGGTAGTGCAGCTGGTACATAAGAAGCTTAGTTCTTACACAGCATGTGGGCACCATATTCCATTGCCACACTCAATGCAGACATCACTAATTGACTACCATTTTATTCCTCACAGTTCTCAATTGGGAATGGAGACCTAGAACCCTTCCCCTCGTGTTGCTCTGAGCTTTCAGTAGTAAAGGTCTGCCAGCACCCCCACCCCCCGACACCAGGCCACTCCCACACACTCACATAGATCTGGTCGAACTTCCCGAAATCCATGGTCTTGAAGCAGTCAATGGGAGGGCGCAGGTACTCGCAGTAGGAGCTAGACTTGACGACCTCCAGCTGACGTACACAGGACACGTAGGCCAGGCGAGACTGAATCTCAGCCATATCTGGAACCTTGATCTTGTCTGCCCAGGGGTTTAGCCGCTTCCACAGCAACCACCAGCCAGACAGGCTATCTCCATAGGTGCTGAGGTCTGTCTCATCTTGGCTCCCCACATCAATGGCAATGACTGTCTTGGCACCCATGCTGCGAGCGATGTCCGCTGTGGGGCCAGGGGGTCAGCAGGTGGCTTCCCACCAGGGCCCAGAGCAGGAAAGTTGAACCCAGTCCCACAGACACCATCATGCAAATGGTCACGCAAAACAACCCATGCAAACAACATGCCAGCATGCAAATGGCATGTAAAGTGACGCCAATGATGTAAAGGAGGTAGGATCAGATGTTGGAGATTTTAAGTGAGGAATCATGGCCAGAAGGATGTAGAGGATAGAGACAGAGGGATGAAACTGCTAGAGAAAAAGACGAGAACAGAGATGTGGAAGGAGAATGATGCAGAGAGACAGAGTCATAAGGACACCTAGAGACAGAGATGGAAGGATCAGAGACACAGGGAGACATAAAGAGATACAAGAAGACTAAGGGGTAAGACAACAAACATGGAAGTAAAGACAGCAGGAAACAAAACCACAGACAGAGATATACAGAGAAGCAGAATTAGCAAGAGATTTGGGAGGGAGAAAGAGAGCAAGAGTTAGCGATAGAGAGAGAATTTGGGTAGAAAGAGGAATCTTGGAGCTGTGACAAGGGACAGAGAGCCAAGAGCAGGGATAAAGAGTAAAAAAGCAAGACAGAGGAGGTGATGGGGAAGGGCCCAGCAGGGAGGGTGGTGCGTCCGTGGGTCTGTGTGGCCCACTAAGGGCCCCTGAGTGGGTCTGGGGGAGCCTGGGAGAACAGGGACAGGATCCTACAACCAGGCTCAGCCCAGAAAAACACCGAGTCTCTGTCAGACTTTGCATGTATCCCTTACGAGTTTGTAAGTCTGAGTTCACGTGCCCATGTCCATGTGTCTTTGTGCATGTGCATGTGTCCCTGTCATCTGTGTGCATCTCCTGTCCATGTGTATTTGTTAACACCCACAACTCTGGGTGTGCCTGCATCTCTGTACACATTTCTGGGCATGTCTGTATTCATTTAATTTCTCGTATACCTAGATCAACGCCTATGTTTCCTTGTGTGCCCAAGTATGCCTGTCTACCTATGGGTCTGTACACATATGAAGGTGTGTGGTTGTGTTAGTGCAGGTATGTATACAGAGCACTTACACAAGAGCTGGAAATTTTTTTCTGGAAAGTATCAGAGAGCAAATAATTTCGACTTTGCAGACCACATGGTCTGTGTCACAACTACTCAATTATGCCATTGTGGCGCAAAAGCAGCCACAGACAATAAGTAAATGACTGGGTGTAATTGTGTGTCAATAAAATTTTATTTACAAAATCAGGCAGGGGCCAGATTTGGCCTATGGGGGGCCAGAATTTGCCAACCCCTGGCCTATGGGACTGCAACTGTGTGTGTGTGTGTGTTCAGCTAGTGAATGTGTCCACTTGTATATACACATTTCTGGGCATGTAAAATTTTAAGTTACAAACCCACCTGCCTCTCATCTGCACACAAGTCAGAAGGGTGTGAAAGAAAGCTTAACTTGGTCTTGTAGGTGCCCCACCTATCTCCATGTGTACACTTATGCACATTTTAAAGTGTTTTTTTTTTTTTTAAATCTTCACCTGAGGATATTTTTCCATTGATTTTTAGAGAGTAGAAGGGAGGGAGGGAGAGGGTGGGGGAGGGAGATAGAGAAAGAGAGAGAGAGAAACATTGATGAGAGAGACACATCTACTGGTTGCCTCCCACATGACCTGGACCAGGGCCGGGGATCAAACCTGCAACACAGGTACATGCCCTTGACCAGGAGTGTTCTGGAACCCAAAACCCTTTGGTCTGCTCCAACCGCTGAGCCAAACCAGCGAGGGTTTGCACATTTTACAAAGCATGTGGGGTGAGTGTGGATAGACTGGCATAGGAGAACATATGCCCAGTTTCATTAACACATGTGTTTATATCTACACAAGTACATCTGACCTTGTGCACACAAGTACCCTACCAGCCATCTAAGTATCTGTGACAATGTGCATGTGAGCACATGCATAGCTGCTGTGTATACATAAAGATGTCCTGTTCTATCCCCATATCCCGCCCGTGCTGTGTATGTGTCTGTGTGCATCTATTTGCATCTTACATATGAGTATACTTGCCAAATGCACATTCCTGTCCTTGTCTCATCCACATATTTGCTCGTGCATGTAAGTGTGTGTATCCACAGCCCTGCACAGGTCTGCTTGCACACATGTCCTCCTGGGTGCCTGTCTGCACGAGTGCCTGTCTGCACGAGTGCCTGTGCATGGACCTACTTGCTGTTTGCCTGTGTGCACATGTATGTATGTGAGTGAGCGAGCAACCACTTGCCTGGCAGGTTGTTGATGTAGCCGCCGTCCATGAGGAGGTGCCCGTCCTTGGGGTCGCACAGTGGGGGCAGGTAGCCTGAGAGCGTCATGCTGGCACGCACATATCGCCATAGGGAGCCTGCCCAGCGGGATACACAGACACAGACACGCACAGACACTCTCAGACACGCTCAGAGGCCTGGCCAGCCCAGTGGGCTCGCTGACCTGGAACGTTGTTGACATAGCACCCGTCCACCAGCAGGTGCCCATCCTTGGGGTCGCAGAGTGGGGGCAGGTAGGGGCAGTAGGAGGCACTGGCCCGGACGTAGCGCCACACGCAGCCTGCAGGGATGGCGTGAGGGGGTGAAGTGCCCGACTAGTCTCTTGATCCCCACCCGAGGACAGACATACCTGGGACCTCTGGGGCATTAGTGGGTGACTGTTAGTGCTCAGCAATCAGGTCAGGATGGATGGTCATACATGTTAACAGTGTTCCAGACACTTGGCTGCCCTCCCAGCATCCCCTCCCCACACGGCCACTGTGGATACTGTGGGTCCAGCCAGGGGCACCCACCATCTTTGTGAACACGCATGGCTGAGGCGGTGATGTCAGTAGTCACATTGAAGTATGGCAACCACAAGTCCTATGGGGACAAGAACAAAGGTTGAGGAGGAGTGGGGACACCTGTGGGAAGGGGCAGGGACAGAGCAATGGTGGGGAGAGGGCGCACCTCAATCTGCTTATTCTGGAAGACGCGGTAGATGCTGCGGTTGAAGGCTGACCCAGTGAACATGGACGTTACAGGGTATGTGAGGTCCAGCATGGGCTCTATCACAGAAGTCATGCTCTAGGGACAAGGGTGCCAGCTGGGGTGAAACAGGAATCACTTGGGGTCACTAACAAGTGGTCACTAAGAATGCTGATTGTTCAAGCTGGAAATTGGAGACTGGGATCACTAGCCAAAAGGTGACAAGAGGTCATCCAAAGTCCCACAAATTAAATCAGGTAAAAGTCAGGAGAAACCCAGAAAATCCCATAGGATCATGTTTTAGGGTGTTCCTGGGGTGGGGAGGCCCCCCACCCCGACACATACCTTGGCCCACTCCCGGGCCCGCTGCTTAGTTCGGCTGGCGCTTCGCTCTTCAGCATACAAGGCCCCAATGAAGGAGCCGATAGAAGTGCCACCCACTAGGTCGACAGGGACCCCTGCCTCCTCTAATGCCTTCAGCACCCCAATATGTGAGCAGCCCCTGTAAGGGGGAGAAGACCTGATGACCTGCTGGGAATCTTTTGGCTATACCCCCAGAAAGGAGAGTCCCTTCTCCCAACTCCCCCACTGGCCATGAACAAGGTGCTAGCCCCACCCTATGGGATTTCACCCAGAGTAAGGTCCACCCCTCAGGGCCAGGGCCCTGCCCATCACCTGGCTCCACCACCACCCAGTACCAGGGCGATGGTGTTGCCTGTGAGCACCCGCGCTAAGCGGGAGAAATCACTGTGTCGGTCCGCACGCCTTGAGAACACCTTCTCGTACAGCTCATGCTGGGATAGGAAGAGAGAGACGACCCATGAGAATGGGGGTGTAAGAGATAGCACCCAGACATCAGTCTCCAAGTCCCCAAGCCACGCTCCTCCCATAGCCACACCCCAGAACATTCTAAAGAGGGCCCTTTTCTTTGGATCCCGCCCTCACCAGCTTGGCAGGGCTTCGGCGTGAGAAAAGGCGGCGGGGACAGCGCAGGTGCAGGTGTCCGGAGCACCAGCTGCGCATGTTAAGCCACTCCACAGTGCGTGTGGGGCCTGGGCCCTCCTCCCGGTGCAGCAGGACAAGTTGCTTGAGGGCGCGAACGGCAGTGTTCTCCAGCATCTGCTCCAGCTGCAGGAGGGCGGACATGTGTCACCAATCACCAGTTTCTTCCCCAACCAACGCACCTAGCTTATGCCTCGCCCCACGGTGAGGGTCTGTAGGCTTTTGCCTAACCCCACAGTCAAGATGTATGTGGCCTGATGCTGGCAATGGAGGGGAGGGGTCCTTGGAGTGGGGTAACTGTGCATGGTCTCCAGACCTGGCCCAGTGTGGGCTCCTGGTCTCCCAGGCCCACGATGAGAATGCAGTCAGCCTGGCGCAGGCAGCGCACGGTCCAGGGAGTCAGTGATGAGTCTGTCTGGTAGAGCACGATGCGGTGGGTGTCCTCCTGCTGGGCCAGCCACCCTGACAGCCGAAACTCTTGGATGCTGGGGTTGGGGTTGGGGAGAGTCATCCTGGGGCCAATAAGGAAGTCACATGCCCCCAGAAACTATTATAGCTCCACTGTTGTGGGGAGAGAGGGACTTAGACACCCAGGCTCCCACAACACATGCCCTCCAGGGGCAGATTCACCCCACTAACAGGATAAGTGAGAAACATACTCCTCAGTTCACAGCCTAGATCTGGACTGGATCTGAAAGAATCCTAAACTTCAAGCTTATTTCTTGCACCCCCACCTCCTGCACCCCAACACACACCTGTCCAGTGCAGAGGCGCCCAGGCGCACCCGGATGATGTCACTGTTCAGGAGGAGTGTGGGGCCTGAGGATGGGTAAGGAAAGTGGATTAGGAACCCAGGTCAGTCAAGAGAGCTGGGGCATCTCCCAGAACAGAATAACCTCTACCCCACTCCAGTGGCCCTGCCCTGCCCTACCTCCCCCTCTGGACCTGCTGGACATCTCCACTCATTGGCAATGCCCCACCCACATGCACCTTGCCCCAGAGAGACCAGTGGTCAGATCTCAACCACACCCCCTTTCCCGACTGACCAATAGCTTGCAAAGCATGCTGTAGCTCCAGTGTGAAGGCCACCATAGGCACTTCGGCACACACAGGCAGGACTGCTACTGTTGCCAAGTTGCTAGCTGGGTTGGTGAGTTCCGAGTGAGGGGGGACACCTAGCCCCGAGCCTGCTGAGACCCCCAAAGGATGAAGTCTGCAATGCAGTCCTGTGTCTGGAGAGAGAGATCCTCCTCCTCCTTTTCAGAAATCCTCACCCATGTCCCTCAGCTGAGGCTTAATGAAACCACAGTGAAAGTCCTGGACCCACAGTTTGATAAGACTTGGCCATTTAACCTTCAATTTTGGCACTAATGTCCTCAATGGCATCCACTAAACAACTCTACGATAATTCTGATTCCTCTCTATGCCTGAATGTACCTATCAATGCCCCACCCCATTCTGGCCTGGGCGCCTCTGTCCACTGAAGGGACTTGAACACAAAACTAAGCAGAAACAAATGTATCTTTGATCATCTACTGCTTCCCAGCTTCTCCACTAACACGCTAGAACCCCATTAACCTCCATCATTTGCATGAACCTCTCACTGCCTCCAGCTGCTTCCCATGTTTGAATAGGCTCAAATGCCTTTCCAGGGCTCCTTGTGCCTATGCGACTTGCCCCTGGACCAGTTTCTCCCCATCACTCACTTTTCTCCTCAAAGTGTTTCAAAACCACCAAATCCTGTGTACAGAACCTTCAATGTCCTTCTCTTCAGTGTACAGCCCAATCTCATTTATCAAATCTCAGGTCAGCGTCCTTTGAAAAACTAGTCAACCTCAATCAAGACCCTCTTTGTTTTCTGCACAGTATTTGTCTGATGTTTTGCCTGCTGGGCAGTAAATACCTTTAGGGCTTGTCTGCCTGTGTACTCTCCCACCCCTGTGCCAGGAATAGTGCCTAGCACATACTAAATGCTCACTGGAAAATCCTTTTCTGTAGAGCATCAACAAGAGGCTCTCAGGAGACCAAGATCTTAATGTCCCTGGCCCTACGGCTGCTCAAGAATCACATCAAGGGCGGCTCGAGTAACTAGGAGGGAATGAACAGGCATTTGTATACAATTCAAGACTGTGGGGAGCCCCGCCAGCGTATCTCAGTGGTTGAGCATCAACCCTTGCACTGGGAGGTCACAGGTTTGATTCCCGGTCAGGGCACATGCCTAAGATTTGGGCTCGTTCCCCAATGGGGAGTGTGCAGGAGGCAGCCAATCGATGGTTCTCTCTCACATTGATGTTTCTCTTTTTCCTTCTCCCTTCTTCTCTCTTTAAAAATCAATAAAAATATATTAAAAAAAAAAAAAAAAGACTACGGGGCCCTGGCCATTTGGTTCAGCTGTTAGAGCGTCCGTCAGCCCATGGTCCAGAGAGACCAGGGTTCGGTTCCCACTAAGGGCACACACCTCGGTTGCAGTTTGTCCCCGGCCCCAGTTGGGGTTGTGCAGGAGGCAGCCACTCAATGTGTCCCTTTCACTTTGATGTTTCTCTCTCCCTCTCTTCCTCTCTCTCCCTCCCACTCTATATGAACAAAAATGGAAAAATGTCCTCTGGTGATAAAAAAAAAAACACTATGGGAAAAAATACCTGACCAGGAAAGATCCTGGGCGTGAAGCCGATCTTCAGCACTGCTTACCACTGCTACCAACCAGGGGAGCCAGGAGTCAAAGCTGATGGGGCAGAAGCCCCTGGAGTCAAAGGGGCATGAAGGTTGCCAATCTCAGTCTCATATTTCCATACACCTCAAATCCAACTCCATTTCCCAGTGCACCCTAGCTCATGGAAATCACACCTCCCAGCATACTGGTAACTTCAGAGGCCACTTCTCAACATGCCCCGGGGTCTAAGCACCACCCCACAAACTCCATTTCCCAGCATACTCTGTCCTAGGATGCTACTCCATCACTCAACCAAGTCCCGAAGCCCAGAACAAAGCTTACCCCTTAAAACTCTGCCCTCTCAAAACTATTTTTTTAATTGATTTTTTTGAGGGAGAGGGAGAGAGAGATAGAAACATCAATACAAGAGAAACATGGATGAGCTGCATCCTGCATGCCCCCTACTGGAGATTGGACACAGGACCTGGACCTGTGCCCTGACCAGGAATCAAACCTGCGACCTCTTGGTGCATAGGTCGATGCTCAACCACTGAGCTACACCAGGCAAAATGATTGATATTTTAGATTCCATAAACAAGTATGCCCTGCATGCTCAAAAACCCTAACTCCCTCTCTACAGCATGCCCGGGAGCTAGAATCCCGCTTCCTTTTTCAAACCTGCCAAGAGCTGGATTTAGTTTCCCAGCATGCCCTGGGTTCAGGGCTCTAGCTTTCTCCCTCTCCCTCCCCCTCTCCCTTCCTCCCTCCTCCTCTCTTTCTCTCTCCCAGCAAGTCCTAAGCTTTGGACTACATACCCCAGCATTCCTGGGGACCTGCCAGATCTCACCTGGGAAAGGTCCTTGCAGATTCTGTAAATTCCCCAGAATTTTCTGGCTCAAGAGGTGAATGAGGCGGGTCACGACCTGAGGTGTTGGAGGTTGGAGGCCCAGTGAGACTAGAGGGGCAGCTGTGCAAGCCCCACCTTCACTTCCCCACTTCCAAATATTAGGCCCTGCCTCCTCTAGGGCCCGGCCCCCACCTCATCAGCTCAACCCCAATTGGGAAACCAGCCCACATTCCAGAGTCGCACCTGCGGGTACCGTCGTTTGATGTGGCCCAGGGTGCCCTCGGGAAGTTTGGCCAGCTCTGTGTCGCGCACTGCATGCACTGTGGTGGCACGCGGCTGCCGTGTCAGCGCTTCCACCTGGGGAACCGCGTGCATGACCAGAGCTGCTTGGGCCAGGAGGCTCCAGATAGGTAAGGGGGAGGCAGAGGAGGCAGTTCCACTCTACTCAGTATTCCCCAAAATGGGGGGTGGAAGGAACCAAGCCTCACTACTCATTAGGGCTCCAGTGAGAGGGTGAGTACAGGGATCCACCCAAGCTGGCATCCCCTCTTCTGATGGAGAGCAGTCTGGGGAACAGTCAGATCAGAATCACCACCCGGATGAGGTTCTCCCACCCCCGTCCAAGGAAAGGTGCTGGGAAAAGTGGACTGGGCGAGGTCACATGTCCAGCTGTGTTTACCACCCCATCAGATCACCCAGAATTTTGTGTGTATGTTGGGGGCGGGGAGAAAAACTGGACTGGGAGAGATCAGAAGTCAGTGGGTATGGCCACGCTCACCACGCCGATGAGATCTCCACGGCCATACTCGCCCACTAGTTCCTTCTTGCCACTTCCGCGCTGGATGACGCTGCGCAACCGCCCATTAAGCACGATGTAGGTGCAGTCTGACCGGTCACCCTGCCTGGGGTGAGTGTGAGAGGGTCAAACTGAGTCAAGCTGGGTCTTAGGCAGGGTCTGAGCTGCAAGGTGGGGGCAGGGGTGGGGGCCGCACCTGTACAGAGCTCGTCCAGCCTCTACGGCTGTCCAGTCGATGGCAAAGTCCATCTGGCGCACAAAGGGTGACATCCTCACAGCCACCGTGTGCGCAGCACTCAGTACCACACTGGGCTGTGCACGCATGATCCTGTAGATGAAGGGTTGGGGTGTCCTGGAACTGCCTTCAGGAAGTGGACAGAGTGGGTGATGGTCTGGAGGTGGGACTGGAAGGGCCCAAAGCTGCCCTGTTAATGTGTAAATCGTTCAAAGGGATAGCCTCTCCCATGGCAGAATGGAGTCAGTGTCCTTTAAGTGCCAGCCCCACCCCAACATAGGGCCCGGTCATACTCATAGAAGTCACACTTGGAGATCCGCAGGAAAGTGCAGTCGCGCTGGGCTCGAAGTGTGAAGATGAGGGGCTCCCCAGTGAGCACAGCCAGCTGCCCAACCAGCTCCCCAGGCTGTGCGATGAACAGGCACACGTCCTCAGCCTTGTCAATCATGCGCTGGTAGACATGCAGACAGCCCCAGAGCACGAAGTGCAGACTCACATCCTATGGGGCAGGGACCAGGAGATGGGCACAGGGCCAACACTTCTACCCCCAACCCAGGTTAATTCACTCCATAGGAAGCCCCCAAAAAGGGAGTGAAGGCTTTGCATAGCTCAGCAGAGCAGCTTATATAGCTTCATAATATTCAGCACCCAGGGCAGATATTGCTAATGGACCACCAAACTCTTGAGCCCAGATTATGACCCAGGAATTCTTTTTTTTTTTTAATTTTATTTTCTTTATTGATTTGAAAGAGAGAGAGGGAAAGGGAGAGATAGAAACACTGTTGAGAGAACATCAACTGGCCACCTCCTACATGTCCCCTACTGGGCATGGCCCACATCCTGGGCATGTGCCCTGACTGGGAATCAAACTGGTGACTTCTTGGTACATGGGTCAACGCTCAACCACTTAGCCATGCCTAAAGTAATTTTTTTTTATCCTAACCAGAGGATATTTTTCCATTTATCTTCAGATAGAGTGGGAGGGAGAAAGAGAGAAAGAAACATCGATGTAAGAGAGACACATCAATTGGTTGCCCTAACCGGGGCCAGGACGAAATGCAACTGAGGTACGTGCCCTTGGCCGGAATTGAACTCGGGACTCTGGTCCATGGGCTGACACTCTAATCACTGAGCCAAACTGGCCAGGGCTGGCCCAGGAATTCTTTACAACACAGCTAGTAAGAGGCTGCAAGGACTGGCTATATAGGGGTGAGCCTGAACTTAAATCCTTTTTGCTCATCTGGACTACTGGATAGCCACATGGAAGAATAAAATTGGATGCTCACCTTAAACCATATCAAAATTGATCACATATATGAATGTTAAGAACACTAAAACGCTGAAAAAAATATAGGGGTCCATCTTCATGACCTTGAATTTGATCATGGGTTCTTGGATAAGACACCAAAAGCACAAACAACAAAATAAAAAATAGATGAATTGGCCTGGCCAGTTTGGCTCAGCGGTTAGAGCATCGGCCTGCGGACCAGAAGAGTCCCAGGTTTGGTTACTGCGAAGAGCATGTACCTTGGTTTGTCTCCGGCCCTGCTTGGGGTCGTGTAGGTGGCAGCCACTCAATGTGTCTCTCTCACATCAATGTTTTTCTCTCTCTCTTCCTCCCTTTATCCCTCCCACTTTATCTGAAGATAAATGCAAAACTGTCCATGGGTAAGGATATAAAAAAATAGATGAATTGGACTTTATCCAAATAAAAACTTTTGAACTTCAAAGGACACTATCAAGAAACTATATGGGAGAAAATCATACTATCTGCTAAGGGTCTTGAATACAGAATATACAGAAATCTTATAACTCAATAATAAGATAAATAACCCAATTTAAAAATGGGCAAAGGATCTGAAAAGACACTTCTCCAAAGAGATATAAGCCCATGAAAAGATCATGAATCATTAGGGAAATGCAAATGAAAACCAAAATGAGATGCCACTTCACACTTATTAGGAGAGCTACGATAAAAAAATGTTAGAGAACATGAAGAAATCAGAACCCTCATACACTGCTGGTGGAAATGTAAAATGGTGCAGCTACTGTGGAAAACGGTACTCAAAGAGTTAAAAGTTGAGTTGCCAAATGACCCAGCAATCTGACTCCCAACAGAAATGAAAATAGAAATTTGTGTATAAATGTTCTTAGCAGCATTATGCATAATAGCCAAAAGGTAGAAATAACCCAAATATACATCAACATATGGATAAGCAAAATGCCGAATATACACACAATGAAATATTATTCCTCCATAAAAAGGAGTGAAGCACTGATACATGCTACAAAATGGATGAACCCTGAAAACATGACGCTCAGTGAAAAGCCAGACATAAAATGCCAAATAGTGTGTGATTCCATTTTTATGAAATGTGAAGAACAGACAAATCTATAGAAAAAGATTAGCAGTTGTTTAGGGCAGGAGGTGGGGTCAGGAGGTAGGGGATTGATAACTAAAGTGTATGAGATTTCTTTTCAAGGTGACAAAAATGTTCTAAAATTGATAGTGGTGCCCTGGCCGATTTGGCTCAGCGGTTAGAGTGTTGGCCTGCGGTCCAGAGAGACCTGGGTTCGGTTCCTGCTAAGGGCATGTACCTTAGTTGCAGTTTGTCCCTGGCCCTGGTTGGGTTGTGCAACCACTCGATGTGTCCCTTTCACGTCGATGTTTCTCTCTCTCTCTCCTTCCCACTCTATCTGAACAAAAAATGGAAAAATGTCCTCGGGTGAGGATAAAAAAAAACTGATAGTGGTGATGGTTGCACAACTCTATGAATATACTAAAAACCAGTGAATTGTACTCTTTAAATGGGTGGATTGCATAGTACGTGAATTATATCTCAATAAACTATCAACAACAAAAAAATCCCCTTTGTTCCCCCATCCGTTGTTCCACTCCATACCTGTTGACTTCCTTGTTTTCTAGAGATCAACACACCACCACAGGATATTGGCACAAGCTGTTCTCTTTGCCTAGAACGTTCTTTCCTCCCCTTACGCTTAGTTAATTCCTCCCCATCATTCCTTCTTAGATGCAGGTCACTTCCTCAGAGATGCTGCCCTGCCTGAGCCAGATATTGTACAGCCGAAAACAGTTCCTTATGTCTATGAACTAAGCACATATAATTTTACATCCTTTGAATGTAATATCCATCAAAACTGTGGGCTTCATAAGGGCAGAGACCTGGTTTTTCTGCCTCTGCAGCAGGCAGCACAGGGCATGGGACATCTGTCTAGCAGGACCTGGGACACAGCAAATACTCAGTATGAACAGGTGCCCCTCTCCTCTCTGGCTAGCCTGCCTACCCAGACACCTCCCTTTTCCACCCTTTTATAAAAAAGGATCTGAAACTGCCCAGATATGAAAGATTTTTTCCTCACCCACCATAAGAACCTGTCTGGCACCTCACAAAGCCCCAGTGAGCCCCAAAACACTGCTGAGGCCCCTGGGAGGGGCACAGCCCCAGGAGATATACACATATGCTGGAACTTTCTAAGACAAAATTTCTAGGCTGTGTCTGAGATATAAATGGAATTTACTAATATTAGCCTACCATTTGCCATCAGGTAGGGAAGCAAGTTTCTTTACTGCAGGACTCCTAAGAGCCTTGAATATGCAAAGTATGTTCAATGGGAACTTTCACAAAGAGATGAAACAATAGGCCCAAACCTATTTGTTGGCCGCGCATCCCTTGTGATATAGGTGTTTCATAAAACACACTTTGGGAAATACTTGTGTAAAGCTGGGTTTCTCAACCTTGGCGTTACTGACATTTTAGACTGGATAATTCTGTTGTGGGGGGCTGTCCTGTGTGTTCTGATATCCCTGGCCTCTAACCATTAGATGCCAGTAGCACCCTCCCAAGTCAATAAAAAATGTATCTACATTGCCAAATGTCCACTGAAGGATAAAATTCTCCCAGGTAGAAAACCATCAGTGTGAAGTTTCAAAGGGAGGGGCAGCACAGTAACGTCCCTAACAAAGTCAGGAAGACCCTGAGAAGCCTTGAGTGACTGTAGGCCAGCAATCCAGTAGCAGCCAGGGCTGTGTTGAGCCCAACACGGTCTCCCAGGTAAGCAGGGCCCAAGAGCTCCCACAAGAGCCATGGTGCAACCATACTTCCTCAGCTCATTCCCAAGAACCACAAACAACTGGCATAAGCATCACCCAACTTCCTCTGCAGAAAGGAGCCCACCCCTGCAAAAAGCAGCGAGAGATGACAGTTGAATCAGCTGATCAAATGAAATAATAATACTCCAGCCAGCTAACAGACCAGGCACCCCTCATTCTACCTCCCAAGCAATGCTTTAGTATCAGTACCTATGTCATGTTCCCCTCCATGTCACCCCCTGGGCTGCTGCTCCACACCCTTCCCTGAGCTTGTCATCCTTGCAAACCTTAGGCAACTATTTCCTCTTTAATGCCAGTAGGCAGTTACTGTAATTACTCCCATTCCACAGATGAGGAAGCAGAGAAATTCTTTCTAGATGACTTGCCCAAGGTCACACAGGAGATCTGGGCAGAGTCCGGATTTCAAATCTAGCCCCTCCCTCCAGAACCCTCCTCCTCTGTGCTTCCTTTTATGAGAGCATGGCCTTGGTAGCCCCACATGGAGAGGGATTCATGGGGCAGAGTTTCCTACATCTCCAGGTGCCATACCAGCAGGCACTAAAGTCCAACTCCTGGAGCCAGTTCATGGCCTCCAGGTCCTGATTCCAATCTGTACACATTTATCAAGTACCCATCCCAGCAGGGGCCCAGGATTAGAAGTTAGGACATCAGGGTTCAGATCAAAGGTTCAGAAAACAGGTTGTGGGAAAGGCCAAGGCAGGTAAGAGAGATTTAGGAGTTGGGGTCCTAGCAAAAAGGTTTAAGGGTTGGAGATCAAAAGTTGATTGCTCCAGAAGATAAGGGGTGCGTGAGATGGGGGTCAGTCATAGGATCCAAAGGTCAGGGACTAGAAATCATAGACTAAGAGTTCTACATGTAGGGTCAAAAGCAAGGATTAGAGATCAAAGAGAGGTCTCGGGTCACAGTTGTACAGTTAAAGATCAGGGGTCAACCTCACCTGGTCCCCCTGCCGGGCAATGATGGTGCCAGCTTTGGCATGATGTAGCAAGACTCTGCTGTTCAGGAGGGAGGGGTCCTAGGGAAGGAGGAGGGTTGAGACTGGTCCAGCCAGGCCTCCTCCCACCCACCTAATCCCCCAGCCCCTGGGCCAAGGCGACCCACCTCAATCCGCATCAACTTGGCCAGCTCCCGCTTTGCCGCCTCAAAGATGCTACTGGTCTGGCGGCCCTGGTAGGGCCCAAAGGGGCAGCCGCCAGTGGCTGACTCATCCTCACAGTAGCTATACTCACAGGCACCTGCTGGCTGCTCCCGGGGCTCCTGAGTAGGGGTCTGTGTGGGACAGGGCCTGTGATCTCCCTGCTCCCACACAACTTTCCTCCTCAGGGGCTTCCACAAGGGGAAAGGCAGAGAAGGCAAAGCCTTACCCGAACAGGGGCTACCTGGGGCCCCCCTGAAGCTTCTTCTTGCAGAGACACAGAAATCCGGCCACGTTCACATGCCATGTCAAAGTCAGAGCGGGGACCTCCCTGCAAGCCTGCAGTGAACAGGGGACAATGAAAGCGATGAAGACTGCAGTCTAAGCAAGCAGTACCAATGTGTTACAGCCACATCCATGCAGATGTGACTCATCAATGACTGCACTACCACAGTTGGAAAGGCATCATTTCAAAGAGCACCTATGAAAACGGCACAGAAAGTGCTGCCAGGGTTTCCACTTCACAGATAAGAAAAGTTGCCCTGGCCGGTTTGGTTCAGCGGTTAGAGCATTGGCCCACAGATCAAAGAGTCTCGGGTTCGATTTTGGTCAAGGGCACATACCTCAGTTGCAGTCTCCCTCGGCCCTGGTCAGGTCATGTGGGAGGCAACCAGTCTGTGTGTCTCTTTCACAACGAAGTTTCTCTCTTTCCCTCTTCCTCCCTCCCTCCCTTCCACTCTATCTGATGATAAATGTGAAAATAACTTTGAGTGAGGATGAACAAAAAAGTAAAAAAAAGAAAAGAAAAGTCAAGACTGACCATCTTGCATTACAACCCAGAAGTTTGATGCCCTCCCGCCCCGGCCCAAGGCCCCAGACCTGAGATGTCCACTGGCATGGAGATGCAGCGGCTCAGCAGGGGGGTCGAGGGGGCTTCCAGGGATGTGGGCTTCACCAGGTCCCCTGAGGGAGACACATATTCAGGTTCCTATAATTTGGGGTGGGGAACTGAAGGGGGACTAGGAGCAGTCAACTCAGAGTCCCTAGGGACTAGGAGACTAGGAAAAGTAATTCCAACAGGTCCATGGGGTTGAGGTCACGGGTCCCTGGGCAACCAGACAGGAGTCAGATCTCGGTATCTAGTGAAGAGGACACTGGGCCTCCAGCATGAGTCATCTCAGGTACCTGCAGGTCCAGCCAAAGGGGCCCCAGTGGGGCCAGGTGGACGGCCAGGGGCCTCCCTAGGCTCTTCAGTTGCTGAGGTGCTGACAACACGCTTGGAGCCTCGCACGGGGCTGGTGCGGGCTGGGAGGCCAGGGCTGGGGAAGAGGCGCAGGGGTTGGATCTCCTGAGGGCAGAGAGCACCATTATGACAAATCCTGTGAGGCATGTGCTGCTTCACCCTTCCAGCCCCCTGTGCTCTCTGGGTAACTCACGTGGCTGAAAAGCTCATTGGTCAGACCCAGGTAGTTGTGGAGGGCCAGGAAAGTGACTCGCTGTAGCCTCACCATGATGATCTGAAGGGGCACGGTAAGCAGGGATGGGGCCAGAAAAGGGGCAGGGCCAGGAAGCAAGTGAGTCAGCAGAGGGGCAACAACAGCCAGAGAAAGTTGGGACTAAGTATTAAAGGGGTGGGGCCATGAATGGGGAGGAGGTTGGGTGGAGCTGAGGCCAAGGTTGGGAGCACTAAGGGGAGAGCAGAGAAACAGAGGTGCCAGGAAAAAACCCACAATAAGGTGGCAGAAACCTGGGGAGATAGGTCTAGACAGCTAATGGGAGGAATGGGGCAGCTCAGAGGTCTGGCTGCTCAGGACTGATAGCACAGCTTAAGAGACTGCGGGGTCCAAGTCCATCTGTGCCTGTGATGGGTGGGGGTGAGTGGAGGGAGGTGAAAGGCCCGCTGACCTGCACCACCCGAACCAGACTCTCAGGGTACTTGGTGAAAACTGCAGAGAAGGCCTCCACTGGCAGCCGCAGCACAGTGGAGTCTCGGGCTGCACGGGCAGACACAGTACGCTGGGGGTGCTGGTGACCCTGGGGATGCAGGGAGCATGAGGAGAATCAAGGTCAGGGGCTGTGAGCCCTTCATTGCTCCCCCAGCTGTTCCTAACTCTAGTGCTTTGAGGGAGCACCAGCAGCATCAGGGACATATCAGAGATTGGGGGCCCCCGAGGGGACTCTCTCCAACCCAGTCTACTGGGTGTAGCATTGTACTCCAACCTCCTTGCCACCCCAAATTGGTCACTCACAGTGATGACATCCAAGATGCTCAGAAGGCTGTTGACACTGTCCCCAGGGACCACTTCCTTCACCACACACTCCTTCCCATCCTGTAACACATTGGGGCGGGAGTTGGAGCAGTGACCAGAGCTGCCAACCAACATTCTACCTCCAACCACACCACTGGCCCTCACACTCACCCACCCAGTGATCTCTAATGCCCTGATCTATGACCTCACTAAAACTTCCAAACACCCATTTCTTGGCCATAACTAACTGCAACCACAGACCACCCAGATACCTTTGGTATCTGTTCCCAACTTCTACCTGCGTATCTCAAAAGACCACCAACCCTACTGACCAAAAGTAATGCCTGTCCCCTACGGCCACTGCATCACTGCCTATCTCTCTGCAGTCCCTCTGCAGGCAGCCCACTTACAGGCCCTGGCAGGCAGAGCTCCAGCAGCCCATCTTGAACCACATAGATGCTGGCATCTGGCTGGCCTGGCCGGAAGACGTAGTCACCCTGGCTGAGCCGCTGGAAGATCATGTGGCGGCAGAGCTCCAGAAACAGCGGCTTCTCGAAGTGGCCCAGCACCCTGTTGGATGGGAGAGGGGGAAAAGGAAGGCAGGAGGTCAGATCACCACTCAGCTCTGCAGCCACCAGCCTGTACCCCGACACTGACCGGACGTTCTTGAGCATGTATAGCACCTCCGAGGGCAGATGGGAGTTGGCCAGGTCGCCCTCTGTCAAGTCAGCCTCTAGCACTGCAGGTGGGGGCTCCTTCCGCTGCAGTATTGGAGTCTCTTTCTGGATGCGTAAGATCCTGGTGGGAGGAAAGAGGTAGTACAGGCGAGCAGGGAGAAGGCTCAGGCAGACCTGAGACCACCACATACACCTTCCCCTGGGTCATATAGAACAGGGGTCAGCACATTCTGTCCTACTGGCCAAATCAGGCCCTCTACTTCTTTTTTGTACATAAAGTTTTACTGGCACATAGGCATGTTCATCATGTACATCTGTGGCTCTTTTCATGCTACAACAGCAGATTTGAACAGTTATAGCAGAATTCTCCGTTGCTTGTACAGCCTAAGATGTTTACTCTCTGGCTCTACACAGAAAAAATTTACTGACATAAAACCCTGAGATCACCCCTCCACTACTCATACGCCTCTGAGATGGACCCTCTAGTTAAACCCCTGACATAGCTTCCAAGATATGGGCAGACCTTAGAAAAAATACCTGTTTGTCATGGGACCCCTGACATAGTCCTTCCAGTATCAACAGACTAGATTCCTGAGATAGCCTTTCTAATGTAGGCAGACCCCTGGGGTAACTGGTAAGAGAATATCACTAAGATAGACCCTAGGGGACAGAGACAGCCTGTCTGGTGCGGGGGAGCTCTGAGATAGCTTCTCTGATGTGGGAAAACTCCCAAAACAGTCCACAAGGTTGAAAGAAACTCGAGGTACATGGGTTGATCACTCAAAAGGCCTAGAGATAGCCCCCAGAGCCAGGTATACTCAACACAGCCTTACTTCTTGGCAATGTTCAGCATTTTGAGTTTCTTTTTCATGCGTGGCCTGGAAGTGGTGGAGACAGAGGCGTCCACCAGGGAGGAAGTAGATTGTGACACCTAGGATAGTTAAGGGAGAGGATAAGGTCAACTGCCAATTCAGACCCTGGGGAAGAGGGGTTTCAGATACATACGTCTTTAACCAAAGAGGTGTTTACAGAGTTGTAACTATGTAAAGAACAAGGCTTCTATGTGGTCAGCGGGAGCCTCAGTTGATCCTAGACTCACCTTCCGCATAATTTTCCGGCCATAGAAGAGCACTTTGTCCCTCTTCCGGAATCGATACCGCGGGCCATCCGGGGCTGGAGTTTCTGGGATAAGAGAGGGGCACTCTAGCTCTGCGCAGACTCCGCGCGGCTAGAGATGGGGACACTGCGTGGATCAGCAAGTCTAATTTCGACTGCTTCCGGAACCCGGCATTTCAGCTCCCCACAACGCAGCCTCCCTAGAGGGGCCCTCCGGGTTCTCACTGGGCACTCGAAGCTTCCGCACAAGCAGGAGGATGAGCACGGCCGTGACCAACACCGCGACTCCAGCCCCGAGCATCACGGCCAGCATCTGTGGGACGAAAGGCACTGGCTGAGCATCGCATACCCGCCCCACCGAGCCTGCCACATGCGCCCCCGAGAAGTTCACAGCAGCCAGTGGCCTCCGTGTCTCCATCTGCAGAATGGGCCAGCGCAACTCCCGTCCCAAGGCGGGGGTGGGGAGCAGCGCAACTCTTCCCTCCGACCCCGCGGTGCACGCCGGGACACACAGTTCCGCCCCGGCGCAGCTCAGTCCTTGCGGGACTGCGATAGTGCGCGCTGAGCACGTTGGGAATTGTAGTCCCCGGGGCGCTTCACAATCTCCAAGCTTTACCATTCTTGTTTGCAGTGGGGCCTCCATCAGCTGTTTCCGACTGGTTTGGTAGCCCCGAGTCCTGGGAATCAAGAAGCAGGAGGAATCCTCGCAAGTAATCACTCTGGGTCCGCCCTTCCCCTGCCACAAGCCTTGCTCCTTTGTACCGGCTGCCTGGGCAGGGAACAGCTAGAGAAGTGAAGCGGTGCAAAGGGGTGGGGCGAATTGACCTCGGCCCGGGCTAGAGAGTGAGGGGGGTCTCCAGCGCCCCACCTGGCTCCCTTCACCTATGCACCGTCCTGACCAGCCACTTTACCTGTCCAGCCCCCACCTCACGGCCAAAGGGCAGCCAGCCGTGTACCCACAGTCAGCAGCCAGTGCACTGGTTCCCGAAGAGCACGTCTCCACGCAGGCCTCTACCCTACGGGATTGATCAATCCTGACCCACCGACCCTAGGTCGCACCCCCGTACTCCCTGAGAAAACGAGCCATAAGCTAAGGGGTCTGGGAGATGCCTGGCTCCTGGCTCAAGCCTGCCCCGGGGAAGACCTATGGGCTGGGGCGCGTGGGAGTGCTGCTGGGACCTTCTACCCAAGAGGTGTAGGCCGACGCTGAGATCTCCGAAGGATCCTGGGACGCCCTGAGTGGGGCTACCAGGATGTTACTGGTTGATGCTGGAGATTTACTGTCATGGAACAGTACAGTTATGGGGTCTCTGATAGTGGGGAGCATCACTGGGACTCGATGCTGGCGCCATTGCTGGGGGACGTAACCGGCCGTGGACGCTGGAATTACTGGGGCACTAGAAAATTACTTAAAGATTCTGAGGAAAACAAAACTATTACTGGGAAAACCCGGGAGCTGGGTGGGCACGTCCCTGGGGTTGTTCAAGCATGAGAGCGTACCTAGGGAGGATGCCCAGGCTCCTTGGAAGATACTGAGGAATGCTGGAATATTACTGGGACTTTTCTGAGACTGAGAATGTTTCTGACTTTGCTAGAGTATTAGTGAGAATTTAGGGTAACAACTGGACCCTTTAGACATTATCTGGAAAATGTCCCCTTCCACTCTAGGGTGCACCTGGCTACTGGTGCGGAAACACTTGCTGGGAACCCAGGGGATGAGAGTATCAGAAAGATGGGGGGCTACCAAGAAATCAGTGGAGGGCAGACCTTGGGAAAGCAGAGGACTCCCTAACGACCCCTGAAGGAACACCCCTGCAGGGGTGATGGAAATCTGGACTCACCCAGAGACCACGGCCGGGTTCCACTCTGCTAACAGTGCTACAGTTCTGCCCAGCAGCACAGGTATAGCCCCTTTAAGTTATACACAGCAAGGTGCACCGAAGCCCCGCTCCCCACCTTGTTTGGAAGGTCACAGGGAGCCTCTCATGCAGAAGGGAGCAATACCTTAAAGGGGCTGAAAACCAGTTGGCTCAGGGAATGCCCCTCCCACTAGAAATGTGAACAAGAAGTTTACTTACCAGTTTTATTTAATATCCATCCTACCCTTGTCCCACCCCATGTCCCACCCAATTGGCCCACACCCTCAGAGGGTGCTGCAGGGAGCCAGTCCTTAAAAGCAAGCCCTAAAAATAAATAGGCAAGGCTCTCCCCAGTCCGGGCTCCTGGGGCTAATGTCCAGTGGCAGTCCTGGTCCAGGTCAATTCACCAGCAGCGAATGCTCCTCTGAGGCGTCACTGGAGGAGGGGGCAGTGTCATGCAGGAAGGAAGGCACCAGTTCCCTCTGGCACCACCCCTTCCCCCAATCCCAACCCGGATTCGAACCTGCCCCTGCTGCAACAGCAGAGGCTGCAAGCAGAGCCGCTCCCACGGCGAAACTTGCCCGAAGTGGGGCTGTCTTGGCACTGCGCGATGTAGGCCTGGAGCTCACTCTCCTCCCCACCAGCACCTCCTGGGTGCTGAGGAGAGATACGGGATGGCCAGCATGAAAGGGGCCTCTTGAGATCTGCCCTCCCCTTCACCTCCTCTCCAGCCATCTGGGTTTCCCTGCTTTTCTTCACTGGCCTAGTGGGCTCCCACCGCTGGACCCCTTTTGTTCCTCACAGTTTGATTCCAGAAAGACCTTCCCTGACTCCTGAATGTCTTGCACACCCTGCATCTTGGTCAGCTGGTGCCATATCTACATCCTCAGCGGGCATGAACATTGTAGCTTTCAACTGAGCCTGAGCCTTTGCCCCTCCCCATCTCATGAAGGAGCCACCATCTACCTCTCCTCAAGTTCTTTCTGACTACTAGGCCTTTGCTCCAGGTGTTTCTTCCCCACTGGTGCTCCCTTACTTGGGATCCCACTTCTTCAATCCAGAACTTTGTGAGATGACGAAAATGTTTGATTCTATGATGTTCAATCTGGAAGCCACTAGCCACATTGGCTCCTGGGCACGCGGTATGTGGATAGTCTGAGTTAGGAACTGAATTTGGAATTGTATTTTATTTTAATTAAAATAAAATTTAGCCCAGTCAGTGTGGCTCAGTTGTTGAGTGTCAACCCATGCACCAAGAGATCGCTGGTTCGATTCCAGGTCAGGGCACATGCCCAGGTTGTGAGCCAAATCCCCATTAGGGGGCATGCAGGAGGCGGCCAGTCGATGTTCTCTCTTATCGATGTTTCTATCTCTCTCTCTCCCTTCCTCTCTCTAAAATCAATTTTAAAAAATCAAAACTTAAATAGTCCCATGTGGTTAGAGACTAGTATTGAACAGCACATTCTAGAAACTTTCCTTCCTTCATACCTCTCACCAGTCGGTCATCGCACTTCTGTTCATGCATCATCCACTTTGCCCACTGGCCCTGGACAGACCATGCACACCTCACCTTGTTTCCTAGATGTCTGGTGCTCAGCACAAGGCTTGGCTCACAACAGGCTCTTGGACATATTGGCTGAAAGAATCCACCTGCCACCCCCACATTGTGCTCTGACCCTTTTCTTTCCTCTAATCCCCATAGCCTGCAGGACAACCACCATTCTCCAGATCTAAAAAGCTCCTGTCCTGACCACCCCACAGGACAGAGGGCTTAGGAACAAGGCTTCCTGGACTGAGCCTGGTTTCAAAACTTAGTTGCTGACCTTGGGTAAGTCACTGAAACTCTACGACCTGGTACCCCTGTTTGTAAAAGTAGATGCCAGAACCCTACCTGTCCAGAGCCCCAACTGGATCAAACTGAAAATGTGGCAGCTGTGCCCATGACATCAGTCTTGCCTGTGCCCAATTTCGAGCTGCCATCTCCTTTGGCTTTGCAGTCTCCCACATTAGCTCCCGGGGTCCTTCTCACCCCACCATGTCCTGAGACCTCACCATGGTAGTCTCCAAGGGACACAGAGCCCAAGTGGGAGCTGTATGTGATGCAGGTTGGCTCCATGGGGAGGCAGGCTGGAGGGGAGGAATGACTAACCTTGATGGTGTCATAGGCACCGGTGATGAGTGCGATGAAGAGGCTCAACACCATATAGATGAAGAGGCTGATGAAGGAGTAAAGGTAGAGCTGGGAGAAGAGCCAGACAAGGCTGCTGTGGCCTTGCTGTGTCTGCATTGCCGCAAACGTCACGAACATGTCATCCCCGTTGATGAGCGAGAACAGGCATTCCGACACCATGGACAGCGAGCGGAACTGAGACCGAGAGCAAGGTCAGTGGGATTGTAGAGACAGAGGGAGCTGTTTAGGTCAGTGAGATTGTAGGGACAGAGGGAGCCGTGGGCATGGCTGGGGGCTAGGCAAGGGCAACAGGGGTCAGAGGGAACAGCAGACAGAGTACCAGTAATTACAATGAGGCCACCTGGGGGTCGCTGTGTAATGACAGTGTCATAGGGTCAAGGCCAGGGTCACCAGGGGTCAGAGAAAACAGTGGAAGAGTATCAGAAGTCATGGGGTCATGTGGGGGGTCACTGTGTAATGACAAGGTCGTAGGATCAAGGCCAGGGTTACTAGGGATCAGAGGGACAGTGGGCAGAATACTAATAGTTTACAATGTGACCATTTAGGGGTCATCATGTGAATGATAAGGTCATAAGTTCAGCACCAGAGTCAGTGGGAAGAATCGCTGCAGACCTGTTAGTAAAGTACTGGGGCGTCACTCAGTGTGGTCAGGTCAGTGACAGATAAACCAGGGATCTGAGGGCTTAGGATGTAGGCTCAGGGCAAGGGAGCCAGGGAACCTTCACCTGTGGGTCACAAGCACCCCCCACCAGCCCTAGCTAGCCCTACCTTCACATGGTAGGGCCCCAACACAATCCAGCCACAGAAGCAATAGCCCAGGTAGATGACAGCCACACAGCAGCAGAAGCGCATGACGCTGGGCAGGGCCACCCTCAGTGTGGCGATGAGAATCTGCAACGGGAAGATGGCTGTTAAAGGCATCGCCACAATTCCAGTTGGCAGTGTGCATGGGGTGAAGTAGGCAGGGCCTGGCTGAGGGCACTACTAGGGGAGTTGAGAAGGGGCAACCTGGAGCTGAGGTTGCCATGTTACTGTACTCAGCTGGATGGCTATGAAGGGGCAGGCTCACATGACCCCTGCTCAGATTCAGTGACATGTACATCTGGGATGGACAGGTAGGTATAGGGCTAAAAAACTCATGATGGGTTATCTGCAAGGGCTGGTGATTACCAAATGTGTATGAATTTGGGACATGAAAATTGGAGGAAAAGTGGCCACCACCCAGAGGGAAGGCCCGGCCTGAGCACACAGGCTTACGTTGTACTTATGGAAGAAGGTCAGGTAGCGGATGACACCAACCCAGACGAGCAGCGTTGAGGTACCCAGGAGAATGCTGCAGACATCGTAGCTGGCCAAGTTCTAGGGGCAGAACCAGTGTCAACCCCATCTGGTGGGGGAATGAGGCCCCAAGTGGGCATCAGTGGGAACAGTATAGGG